AAGCAAAAGCATAGGGGCCTTCAGCAGGTATCAAGCATTCTTAGAAGAAAATTCCACAGGCAGGATGCCATAACAGCAAAGATCCTTTCTCTATCGCCTAGATTCATAAGGAAATAAGTAGGTCCCTCTGATGCAACTATAGTTAAGATACCAAGCAACTGGCTACCTTTCTCTTCAATTTGCCTGATATAAAGTTAGGAAGGGAACTATAGACGAAAGAATACAGGGTGTCATAATACAGACCAAATATATTATGTACCCCAGTACACATGTGTATCTTCCATTTGTTCTATGGGAAGCCTACTTTGGATTAAAGCTTCCTCAACAGATTTAAGTAATTCCAGTATTTTTTTGTTTCTGAGTATGTCGTTCATTGGACTTTAAAATAAATTAGAAAATAGTTCATCTATTAAACCAGCCTCATAGTACATATTTTATGAACCTACATTAATTGTTGGTTAATGTACAACATGTACCACACTGTATAAGGACTAAACAGTAGTCCACAATTTAGTGGTTAATAAAAATAGTTAACCAGATTAAAAAAAAAAAAACATGAACACAGAAATATACAGTACATTTTGAATGTAAAGCTGAGAACTGAATGTTTATTAGTTAGCAATGTAAGCAGTATGAATATGAAATCAGATTTGCTCCTTACTTTGCATCCTTTTCTCTATATATGCTAATTTTCATGAATCTGGCAACTAAACTTCCTTATCTGTGTTTTACAACTTCTCTTCTCTGTAATCCCATAACTTCAAGTGTCTGTATCTCCTGATCTTTTACCAGGTTCCCAGCTGAATCTACCAAACATAAAGTACTCAATATCCCCCGTTACCTTTCATCTTCGCATGCACTCTAGATCCAAAACAAAATCCTAGTGCTGTATTTCTAAAATTTTACTAATTTTAGGCCAAGGATGCTTTCAGATAGAAAGCTCTAGTGTTACCAGGGAAAAGACACTACATAGCCATTCCATATTTTCCTCTTTAGCAGATTTTCCCAATTAAAAAAAATATAGAAAAAATAATGCAAAATGATAAATGAATAAAGATGACCATAAATAAAGAACAATATCATTTGAATCCTTCATAAGATATAGCCAGCAACAATTTTCTGTCAGTCATAGGCTAAAAAGCCTTTGGGAACTGAATGGTATATAAGCCACAATAAATATATAGTCCATGTGTGTTATGTTTTGATTCCTAAAATATCTAATTTATTCATATGAAAATGAAAATGAAACTACAAAGCATTTCAAGTAATTTGGGTCCACTTTACTCTAGCAACATTAAAATAGGTTAAGAAATCTTTTGTATATATCATAATCTCAGTATTGCTATGCCACTTCAAGAACTGGACTAATTTTTTTCTGGTTTTCCCATTTCCCCTGTCCTCTCCTATTCTATTAAAAAATATTGCAAAGCACTGAATGGCTATGTTCTTATGATGTGCTCAATGAGATTGTAAGGAGGGCTAAAAGATAATTTAGCAGTGGGGTTGTCTGAAGCTAAACTAGACTCCCTAATCAATCATATATAAATGGAGATAAAAGAGTTAACTACTGTTAGCACAGAGATGAAGTCCCAGATGGGCTCCCAAAACTGGGACCAGTCTAGGATTTTCCTCTTTCTGTTCTTTTTACCTTTTTCCCCTCCCTTGAGCACATGGGGGAGAGGATACAAAATAGGGAATAAAAGGGGCAAGGAAGCACATAAATTTCCTTCAACTGTGTTTTAAGTGGTGCCAGCTCTGATCAGATCACTGCCAATTTTTTTCAAAATGTAAAAAAAAACAAAAACAGCAGGAAGTGATAGTGTGTCAAACACAGCCACTTCCTGTTTAACTGGGGCATCCCAAACAGTGGGCCACTGGTGCAGAGTATGTACATACTGATAGACTGTATCAGCTATACAAGTAGTCCCCAGTTTAAGAGTTCTGTTTCCAAGGTCTGTCCTTAAATCAAATGTATATGTAAGCCAGAACAGTATTATTGTATAAGTAGTGTGTATTTAACTCAAATCACTGTGTATTTAACTCGAATTTTGCTACAGTAGGCTCTGTTCTTAACTATGGGTTGTCTGTAACCCGGGAATTCTTAACCCGGGGATTGCCTGCATTGTTCAAGCACAGCCAATGGGTTCTTTGAATCACAGTTGTATTCCAGGTTGGCTTTATTTTATGAAATTACAATGCTTGCTTTATTATTTGTAATGTACTCTGGAAGGGGAAACTCTGTTGGGTTCTTTGAGTATTTTGGATCCTTTCCATTATTTATTATGAAAATCCAGATTTTTAGTAATTTCAGAAAGAGGTATTACTTAATCATTAGCCACAATAATTTTGAAAAGAACATTTTATTTTAAAAGGATTCATTACACCACATATTGGTTCTATGATTCCACACTAAAATATGGTATATAAGGCTTAAGCTTCTGTGGCAAAACAAAAAATAGCTGGCAGGTTCAGTCACTTATGAAAGAAAAGAGTTATCTCTGCATCAAATATTAAAGAACAGTGTACTGTTGCTACAGATTAAAAAATATCTTTTGAGTCAACTTCAAAATATATCACTATATAAATTTTGTCTACATTTATTATATTAGGCTTTATAGAGAGAGAAATGGAAAAATACCTAAATGCACACATAGATGCACTTTGGTTATGATTCCAAAGGATGAAATGCTTTTTCAAACTAAAAGCAGCATTAAAAAAAAAAGTATATATTCATGCATTCTGTTGTAATTTTTGCTGATATTCTCAAGGCCAACTTGAAAAATGTAGTCAAGTTGATTCAAAGTGAATTTTTTGCTAGCCATAGCCATCTTATAATTTTAGTAGCTGCAAGTTTATTTTGTTTCCATACAATATGGGATTGCCAATATGCCAGTGCTCCAAAAATTATTTAATCCAATATAAGATAAAATTTCCACCTTTGTTTCACTCATGATCAACTGTTATAATGGTCTGAAAATCAAGAAAGAAGTTATGATACACTATTTTGTAGCTGCCAGGAATTTCATGTTCATATTTATATAGTATACCATTAATGTCCAAACTGATTAATATGCATATATCAGAATAGAAATATGCATTTCATGAGCAAACCTATACAAACTCCCATGTGTTTTCCTTGAAAAAGCAATGTTGAGAGGAGAAATGACATGAATGGACTTCAAACTATTTTCACATAGACACTTAATCCTTTCCTGTCTGACAACTCTGTTCCATGTTGGTCTCTTTGTTTCCCCCTCATGTGCAGATAATGCTTCCCAGCTTCTATTATTACCAATCGAAAGGCACTGTGTAACTCTTCATCATTCCCCTTTTACAGATTTTTTTGTGGAAAGAAAACAAATGGAAAAAGGAGGGGGGAAATGCAGGAAGACTACACAAAGAAGACAGTGACATCTGGCCCTCTTGTAAAATCTCTGGTTATAGGCAGGGCAGTGGCACAATAAAAGCTTCATCTGAAAAAATACATAATACCATGCACATTTTAATTATTGCATCCATATATATGGAAATCTAGGAGATAAAAAGAAAGCAATCTTCCCAGAGTTACTTTTCTTAGGAAAGCAGCTATTACGTTTTGATACATACTAATATAATTTAACCATAAGACTCAAAACTATTTCTTGTTATTATTACATTATTATATATACTACTTTCTTCCCAAAGGAACTCAGGTCAATGATAAAACAATTGTATAATAATGACAGAAAATATTTAAAAGATTCAATCATGACAAAATAACCCAATATGAAATAGTAAGGCTGAACTAAGTTCCACAATCAGCAAACTCAGGCAATGGTTACCAAAAGCTAAAACTGATTTTAAGAAAAGGCTGAAATCTCATGGTACTGAAATGGGAGGATTTCAGCCATTTTAATTTTTCCTAATTTTCAGGTTCCATGGAAATCATTCAGGAATGACGCGAGTATTATGGTGCTTACATGAACCTTATTGGTAACACAGGCTGGAGACTAACAAATATGGTTCTCATTATTGTCCATGGGGCAAACAACTTTACCTGCCCCCCAAAATGCTCCAGGTACTACTGAGAAAGAAGTCACAAAAGCTTTGTAGTTCATGCATTCTTGGGAGTTTTTTTTAATCCAAAGTAAGTTAGATATGCTTCTGTGAATGATAGTAGATTACAGAGATTTAATTTTCCTGATTGTTTGTTTGCTTCTATCTCAAATATACCCATGCAACCTGCTTTTTCATCAAACTGAAATACAAGGAGACACCTTGTCTTTAAAGGAAAAGTAATTTTGAACTTTAATGGGCCAGAAGGAGAAGGATTAAGTACTCCTAAATCTAAACAACTTTCCTATCCTCCCTAGACAAAGAGAACTATATATAATGTGATGAATAATAATTTAGTTTATATTTTGGGGAATAAATGGCCATAATGTTTCTGCTAAAATTTCTTCATTTGGCAGGAAACCATTGCAGAATTAATAGACTGGCAGATTTAAATAATACCCTAAAGAGATAATGCTGAAGATCACCATTGTCTGATTCCTTGGCATTACTAAGAACAGATAAAGTTCAAAAAGGTATTTCTGGAACCATTGTTTTTCTATCAGTTACTAAAGGGAGATGAAAGAAAGAAATCTAAACATTCTCTTCCATCTTTCCTCAATCATTTGGATCCAGTTTCTACAGCATAAAAATATTTTAGAACTTTTATAAAAAGTAAAAGGACAGAAGGCACTATATCATAGTCTTGTGAAATGTTATACAATAGTTGTTTTTTTAACGTAACATTCCAATTTTGTAAGGGTGGTAAGGAAATGGAAATGTAAGGGTGGTAAGGAAATGGAATAAAATTAGCTGAGAAGTCTCTTCTTCCTTTATTTTCCTTTTGCGTCATGTCTTTTAAACTGAAAGCCTGATGACAGAGATTGTCTTTTTAAGGTACTCTAAGAGCCTTTTTTCAACAGAAGAATGGAGTAAAATGCTTCAGTTAAATAAATAAAATATGATACCTGGGTGCGATTGAAAGCCACTCTTGCAAAGACTGCCTGGGAGACACTGGCCCTCTTCAGCTCATCCCTGACTTGCTGGTAGATATCTGGAGAGACTTCCACTGATGAATTTGTTGGTTCTGGTTTGACTGTTCTAGGGATAGGCGGATGATTTAGAAACTGTTGATTAATTGCCTGTGGATGCTGATGAGCCAGGAGCCGACTTACTGCAATCTGTTGGTTTATCAAATGGGCCATTGCTATTTGTTGCCTTACAAGCTGTGGGCTGAGTTGAGGTGTGAGAAGACCAGGGCTCATGATTGGCTGCAACGTTGGCACTTGGTTTCTGATTGGAGTACTGTGGTGAATTTGACCATGAGGAGACTGTTCATTTGTTTTGCCCAAAGTTGCCAGCTGGTTGATATTCGGTAAGTGCATGGGACGTTGACCAAGAACACAATATTCTGACAGGTTGTCTCTTTCAACTCGTTCCACTGTTAAAATAAATCAAATAATAAAAATATACAATTATTTTAATTTGAAATCATATCAGAGATTACAATTGAATAGATACAGAGTTGCATTAAACTGTTTTCACTTTATTACCAACTCTACTAATGCCACACTATTCTACATTAAAGTAAACTAATAATGTTTATACTTTGTAAATCTGACAGTAGTAAGGTTTAAATGAAAAGGATATAGAATGAAAAGGATATTGTATACTGAAACTGAATTTCAAGAACCCAAGTCCATTACACTGGGTCAACCTCCCAATCAAACATCGAATAATTGTGCTAGTGTTTTATTGTTGCCCTTGTAAACTCTAATATTTACATTCAGTTAGTATTTATTCTATTTATTCATTCATTCAGAAATGCATACATTTATATCCTGCCCTTCCTACATAAGTTTCAGGTGAGGTACATGGCAATTCTAGTTCCAATATTTCCCACAAGAACTATGTTGAGAGTCAGGTTAGACTGAGAAAAGTGATTGGCCCAAAGTCTTTCATACTAATGGTAGATTTGAAGCTGGATTTCCCCAGTTCTAGTCCAACATTTTAACCACTGGCATGTTGCTTATAATTCACCAATACCTTCTGAATGGACGTTTTTTTACTCCATGGTGCAGAAACAATCAAAATATTATATTGCATAATTTACATACACATTTCCATATGCCTGGACCTTTAGTTCTTCCATCCCACATACTCTCATTTTATATATATACAGCAAAAATATGTGGCTCATACTGTCTTGCCTTTTTATTTGTTGTTTATAATTTCATCAATTTCCATACCATTTCTTTGTAAACACTTGAAACACTTGAAATCACTATTGTATTCTTTCTCCCATGACATATGTACAGCCAATTCACTGTTTTGTAAACACTATGTCCTTTCAGCACACCACAGGGTCAAATTCATACCCCCAAATGAATTGTGGGATTACACCCTGTTTTTTCAGTACTTCAGTGCACATTCAGTACTTCAGTACACATTCAACTACTGTTTTTAACTGTAAGCCACCCAGAGTTGTTAAGGAGTCAGGCAGCCTTGCAATAGAATAAAACAAAGAAACCACCAAACATTATAAGAGATTCTCATAATTAAAACCTTGTTAGCATATACGATTCCTAAGTAGCTCCCTAAACCTTCAGTGAATTGCAGAAATCCAGTTTTGACATTATATTTATCAAGTATCAATAAAATACTATAGAACATTTAAAATACTTTGGCTTCTTTCAACAACAAATTTAGGACGCAAAAGTTTGCATCTGTTTACAAATTTTAATCCATTTAAACTTTTTTTTTATTGTCTTGCTTTATTTTGTTTTATTTTCAGTTTGTATAGCCTGCCCAGCTCAAAAGAGGTTACAACCGGATAAAATCATAAACTTTGGCTCTTCTTCCCTCTTCCCCCAGCCACCAATACATTTGTATTTAAAAAAAAAAAAAAGTACCTTAGTAAACAACTATACCTAAGTAAACAACTATACCTAAGGTTCAAGATTCTTGGATTGATGTCATTTATCCCAAGCTTCTGCACAGACTCAATTTCTGATATAAGCTATATAATCTTATAAGAATAATATTAATATTAATCTTGCCACTGCTATTCAGAATAGCAGTAACAGAAAGAGCAAATATATATCACATGCTATATAGCTAGTTCTCATTGCATTTGAGAAAAACAAAATTACAGTGCCATTACTAGCCTCTAGGAGGCAGTAGGTATAGGTATATAGTATAATTACCAGTCTTGACTTCCTAGAACTATTCTAGACATGGGAGGTGCTTTTCATGTGGGTAACTTATTTAAAAACTGTGATTATCTTAATTACTTATTTCTTTTCATCAAAACCCACTTAACCCAATTATGAGCAAAGAGGTAATTTCAGAAATCTCATTTCCAGTCAACACTTAACTTCATGTTTACCCCAACCATCTATCAGTGTTATTTACTGTCTGGTCTCTGACCAGGAAAACTGTATTTGCACATCTGTGATTTGTGTACCCAAAGGGGCAGTTCCACCATAGTATTTGGCAATCATGAAATGCCTCCTCAAGTGATTTTCTGCAAATACACTGAAAATCGATTTTCAAAATAGTACACATTGGTCAGCTAATTCTCCAACAAATCTTATTACCTAGAGCTTATATGCAGATCACTATAGCTCCTATAGAACTTCTATTAACTTTTCACATGAATACATTAATATGAAATCATTTCAGAAGTTCTTCCTATAGTTGCAAAGTAATTTTTTAAGAACACAAGATCAAGTCCTGAATCAGATCAAAGCCTACTAATCCAACATTCTCTACCAACAATGACCAAGCAGATCTATAAAAAGTTCACAGATAGGATATGAGCATAACACCCTCCCACTAATGGGAACTCAAGAATTAGTTGCCATGACAAATAGAGTTGGCTGACCAACCGTACTCAATGTGTGATCCTTAATGTAACTACATCTACATGGAGGGAAGTATGCAGTGGTGTACCTCAAGGTTCTGTCTTGGGCCCAGTGCTCTCCAACATCTTCATAAATGACCTAGACGAGGGGATTGAAATCTAGACGAGGCTCGTCAAATTTGTGGATGACATAAAGCTGGGAGAATTGCTAACACTTCAGAAGATAGATTCAAGATTCAGAAGGATCTTGACAGACTTGAGCATTGGGCTATATCTATCAAGATGCAGTTCAGTGGAGAGAAAAATAAGGTCCTGCACTTAGGCAGGAAAAACCAATTGCACAGGTACAGGATAGGCAGTACCTGGCTCAACAGTAGTGCCTATGAGAGGGATCTAGG